TCATTGCAAACACATTTTTCATACAACCAGAAAGAAGGCTATACACATTGACAGTGCTAACTCTAGTGCTAACCAACATATGTCAACAGATATGGGGAAAAAAGATGGCCAACAGATTTGGAAGTGATCAATTTACATTTCTATCCGCCAGAAGGGAGACACAAGAGACTGCAGCAACTATAACACCATAGCACTGATCTCCCATGCAAGCAAAATTATGCTCAAAGTTCTGCAACATAGACTCCAACCATACATGGAGAGAGAAATCCCAGGGATCAAGTGGGGTTCAGGAAAGGAAGAGGCACTAGGGATCACATTGCAAACATATGATGGCTAATGGAACACACTAGGTAATTCCAAAAGAAAATCAGCATGTGTTTTATAGACTATAGCAAAGCCTTGACTGCATAGATGGAATACCCTTAAAGACATGGGAGTGCCAACACATCTGACAGTCCTGATGAGGAATCTGTACTCAGGACGACAAGAGGCTACTGTCAGGAGAGGACACAGAGAAAAAGAATGGTTCCCAATTGGCAAAGCGTCAGACAAGGCTGCATCCTTTCACCCTTCTGCTCAACTTGCATGCAGAAAATGGAGGAAGGAATATCAAAGATATACAGATGACACCATAATACTAGCAGAAAACTTCACAGACCTGGAACACCTACTAAGGAAGATCAAAGAAGAAAGTGCAAAGGCAGGCTTAATGCTGAATATAGAGAAAGCAAAAATAATGACCAGGACCTTCACAAGTTCAACCTAGACAATGAAGAAATAGAAATAGTAAAAGAATTCCCATAGCTGGGATCAAACATTGATAGAAATGGGGACTACAGTCAGGAAATCAGAAGAAGACTAAGAATGGGGAGAGTGGCTATGAAAGAACTAGAAAAGACTCTAAAATGAAATGATATACAACTCAGCACAAAAGTCAGAATCATACAAGCCAGTGTATTCCCTATTACCATGTATGGATGTGAGAGCTGGACAGTTCAGAAAGGCAATAGGAAGAAAACCAATGCATTTGAGATGTGGTACTGGAGAAGAGTGCTGAGGATCCCTGGACAGCCAAAAGGACAAACAAGTGGGTCCTAGAGCAGATCAAGACAGAAACCTCCCTGGAAGCCAAGATGACCAAACTGAGGCTGTCGTATTTCGGACACATGATGAGAAGACTCATTAGAAAAGACCATAATGCTGGGGAAGGTGGAGGGAAATAGGAAGAGAGGAAGGCCACATGCCAGATGGATGGACTCTATTAAGGAGGTCACGGGTATTAAGGGGTTGCAGGAATTAAGCAGAGTAATGGAAAACAGAGGGTTTTGGAGATGTGTCATCCATAGAGTCACCATGAGTCAAGATTGACTTGAGGGCAGATAATAATAATAATAATAATAATAATAATAATAATTTATTCCCCACAATCATGGTGGCCTACAACAGTTAAAATTACAACCAGAAATACAGACTAAAAATCCCATAACCCCCCCATTAAAAAAGTATTAAACCACACATCCTTTAAAAGATCTTAACATAAAACATTGCAAGATAAAATAAACTAACTAGAGAAACCGCAAACAAACAAGAGCAGTGGGAGAGCTAAAACTGAGAGAGGTAGAGATGAGCAAGCTCCAGTTAACAATAACAAAATTCACGCTTCTCCCGAAGGGAAGGCCTGACCAAAAAAGTTAAAAACACTTTATATAAAGACAAATTAATGCTTCATTGTCATGCTCAAAATGTAGGACATGACCAATTAAAAGCTAAAAACACTCCTATAAATATCAAGGCATGCTTCTTAGTTGTGTTCCAAATGAAGGACATTTGGGATTCCTCCTGGACAATAGGTGGAAATGTAGGGTATGTCCTTGAAAAGGAGGATGTGTCTGTTCACCCTTGACAGAGGAGTCCCAAAGGGAAGGGCGGATCAAGCCTACATCACTGTTTTTATCTTCCAGCAGACACTTCTTGAAGTTCCCTGAGGGCTGGAGAGAAGCCCCTTTGGTCCAACCCCTTGACATCTGCTGCATGACTTTTCATGTATCCAGTCATGGGTTTAAATAGGGGGCATTCACACGCTTTCAGTCCTTAGTAAAGCCAAACCCAAGCCATAAGACTTACTGAGTTGAATGGGACTTATTCCCAGTCAAACATAGATTTAGAAGATGGGTCTTAGTAAGCTTCTTAAGTCTTACTAATTCCATACATTGTCATTGTACTATGCCTTGAAGTCATTTCCAAGTTATGGACACCCTAAGGTGACCCTATTCTGGGGTTGAGAATATGTGACTTGCCCAGGGTCACCTAGTGGATTTCCATAGATGACCAGGGAATTGAGCCCTGGTCTTCAGAGTCATAGTCCAACACTCAAACCACTACACCAGGCTGGGTCTCAACTACACACATACATTACATATATGTATAGGGCTGTGCTGCAAGAGGCCCTCTAGAATTTCCAGGAAGGTGCATTTACCTTCCATATATTTTTATTAATTTATTCCAGAGACTCTCATCTTTGTATTCTCATGAAGCTATGACAAATGAAAAAACAATGTTAAGAAGTACCCAATCAAAAGAGAATAGTGTCCATAAAATTATTTGTATATTCAGATGTAAGTCCCACCATTGACCTAGGATTAAGTACAACTGAACTTAGTGAGATCACTGAGTCCACTTGCATAGGATTATATCCTCATGTTTTAGCCTGCAGGGCAATGAAGAGTGAAAGGGGGGGGGGGGCAAGATAGGTAAATTCTGCCAAGAACAAAGCCACAAACAAGTTTCCATGCCCTGGAGACTTTGGCTAATGTTGGATTTGAATCTGCAAAATCCAGGTCCCATTTCCAGCTCTGCAATCCTGTTTGTGTTCACCTGGAAAGAAGACACCATGTCCCTTGGGCACTGTACACTAATAAGAATGCTTAATAGGCCTTGGTCCATGACTTTCACCATCCCTGAGTTCCACTTTCCTGGTCCTTAATGCACGCTTACATTTAAGGACTTCTTAGATGAGCCCCAGTCCTCAAGTTAATTACTCTGGAATAAATTCTGTCAAAGTTAAAAGCATTGATTGATTTGGGAAGAAGACATACAAAGAAAGCTGAGATAACAAATAACAGGGCATGTTTACTGAGAAGTGAATCCTGCTGTGTTCAATGGAGCTTACTCTTGGCTTATGTGTGCATAAGATTGCAACCTAAGGTGGCAAATAAATATAATTTCCAGCTGGTTTGAGAATGTATTGCTGAGCATGCATGGACCTCCTCTCTATTTAGTAATTAGAGGAACTTTATAGTGATTTAAACTCCGTCCTTTCAAGGTCAGAAAGAGGACACACTTCTGCAGCCACAGATCTTTTTCTCTAACTTAAGCAGCACAGATCTCTCTCTGTGGTATGGTCACCAAAAGTATGAAGTTCATAAAGAGACACAGCTTCATTTTCCAAGATACAAAACAAAACCTAGAGTCATGCCATTCCTCTGATAGGATCACTGAAATGCCCAGAATTCATGTTAGATGGTACAAAATGGAAGGAAGAAGCAACAACAAAAAACCCACCTCAAAATCTGGCCAGCTGTAGCAGCTGTTGTTTCTGCAAGCAAAGAGACTCAGGATGGAGACTTCCAATTAGATATGAAATGAAAGTGAGAGGTTAGGGACAGAGCTTTGGAGGAACTTACTTTTTAAAAAACAATCCATTCCTGTTACAGCATTTGAAAAGGAACATTTCACATAACTTCTTGTGCTTCTCATTATTTTCCTTTTTGAGTGGGAGGCAAAATTAGGATTTATAAAAGAAAGTGACTCTTCAAAATACAGTTGGCCCTCTGTTTTCGTGGGGGATCTGTTCCGGACCTCTCCCCATGAAAACGGAGATTAGCGAGTATTCAAGCCCCATAGACTTGAATGGGGTGCACCCCAATCATTTAAACGGAGGTTGCCCCTCTGTGAATACTTGAAGTCCGCGAGAATGGAGGGGTAACTGTACCTTTTAAAAGTGACTGTCTAAGGAACTAGCTACTTGTTACATTGATAAAGTAACTTTATCACTGATAAACTAAAGTAACTTCACTCTTACTCATGTTACTTTTGCAAACCAACATTAGAACTTCACCATCCCAAAAAAGTAAATGGTTCCAGGTAACTATGTTGCTTGAAGTGTGTTACTGCCAAGATCTGGTTCAAAAATGCAATCACTGCAGCACTTCCCTAAGGGATATGTTCAAACACAGGAAGGGCAAAGTCTTTTCAGAACTGGTCATATGAAAATAGATATAGGGCAGGAGTGTGGCTCCTTAAAGCTAAGTCTCATGCTATTTACTGAGAAGTTCTATTGACTTTAATGCAGCACCTTGCATCCCTCCAAACATTGCTGGACTACAACTCTTTGCAGTCTCACTCAGTATAGCCTTTGGAAAGGAATTCTGGGATTAGCAGTCCATTAACATCTAGAGCAGTGGTCCCCAAACTTTTGCAGGCTACTACCCCGTTTCCTTTTGGGTGATAACCCTAGTGCCCCCCCATGATTATTTCTTGGTATAAGGTCCCCTGTTCTATCGGGGGGGGGGGGTTGAAGAGAGAAAGTAACCTAAGCAAGGGAAGTGGCTGCTTTTCGGTAATTTTGCAAATGAAGTAAATGAAATCCTGCTTGCCATGCAACCTCACTGGGTGACCCTGGGCAAGTCACACTCTCCCAGCCACAGGGGAAGGCAATGGCAAACCCACACTGTAGAAAGTGTTTCAAGAAAACCCCATGATAGATTCTCCTTAGGGTCACTATGAGACAAAACAACTTGAAGGCACGCAACAACAATTGCTGCTAGTGAGCCCAAGTTCCAAAGGAAACCATAAGTTTGTATTTGGGGGAAGGAGGGTGAGGCTGGGGAGTGGCTTGGGAATGTGAAAGAGGGAGGCCCCTTTATGGAAGGAACATTGTCTGAATGAGGGGCCTGGCAAAGAAGTCACACAAAGTTGTCACACAAAAACAGCAGTAACTTCACCAAACTAAGAAGATTTACTATTCTATGTATCTCAGAACCCAGAATCCTACTCACTCAAGTTTATGAAATGATACTCCCAAACCAGTGCATGCAGGACTGAAGGAACAACCTGAAGGAACAACCTGAAGGAACAAAAACTCAGGCAGGGAGCTTTGGAACACTTTGGGCAACTGTTTTCACATTTTTCTAATATAAGTAAAGATGCAAATCCAGGATGTTTGCACATGGGACGTTATCACACGGGGTCTAAAGCAGTCCCATCCCCGTCGCATCCCCGTCCCATTGCGCTTCCTTTCCCCGTGTCTTCACACGACGTCGCACCCATCCCCGTCCCATCCCCATCCCATTGCGGCATCATCCGGCATCATCCCCGTTCTTTTGAATGCCGGTTTCTTTGGGAATTACATTTTGCCGCAACCAGAATGATACTGGAATGATGCTGCTTTCTGTATGCCGGTAAGTTCTGGATTGAAAAGGAACCGCAATGGGACGGGGATGCGACAGGGATGGGACTGCTTTAGGCCCCGTGTGATTACGTCCATAGTCACACACATCAATGTTAGCTGCTATCATACAAACAAAATGTGGAGGAATGCCTTCCATGCCTCTTCAACACTGACTGAATTTGTGTATATTCTGCTCTTATGAACTATGTATTGTATTAATTACTGTGCTAGTTTGATTTAACTGATTTATATAAATCTATTAATTACTGTGGGGATAATAAAATATTGAAGAACTCAAAAGAAAAAAAAAGAACTTCTAAAAACTCAGAAAACACTATTCCAAACACATGAAATAGCATGTGGTATTCACATGCCAACTGATATTTATTTTATCTTTCAGTCATTGACATTTATTCAGTTTGAGAGGCAATATATTTCCCAATTTATCATCATTCTTTCTGACAAGTCAACTTAAGCAATCAAGTGCCAATCAATTAGAAGTAAAATGGCTATAAAAAAAATTAAGGTTGCAGTTTGCTGCTTCCAAGAAGTCAGCAAAATGTTGACAGAAAAAGGTGCTAGAGTAACTGAGTCTATGGAGAGGACATTCTCTTTCATATTGAAGGATCTCCTGCACTTACCATGGGACAGTGGAGTGAGAAGAGAAGGAAACACTCTGCTGCCAAACACAGCTGCCCTGAAAGCATGGACATCTCCTTTCTTTTCTATGAGCAGCTCTTTCATTCCAGGATGGGGGGGGGGGGAGAGCCACAATTTGGGCAAAAATAGTCAGCCCCTGTATCCATGGCTTCTGCATCCATAACCTGAAAATATTTAAAAATGACATTCCAAAAAGCAAACCTTGATATTGCCATTTTATATAAGGGACACCATTTTACTGTATCATTGTATTTAATGGGATCTGAGTGTCCACAAAGTTTGGTATCCATGGGGGTGTGTGAGTCCTGGAACCAAAGCCCAGTGGACACCAAGGTCCCATTGTAATACATTTATGGTTGGCAGTAGTTGCGCTAAAAATATTGACACTCTGGTTTAAATAGGACAAAAAGAAGGAAAGTAAAGAAGAGAACTGCATGGCTGAGCCTTTTATCTACTACATTTCCTGACAAGTTAGCATTTGAGCTGGGGTGACGGATGTTATACTCCTCTTCTACAGCAATAAAGAACTTGGATTCATGGTAGATAACCAGCCTCATTTCTAAGCCCTGAATACCAATGAAGGAAAAGGGAATTTCCTCTTCCCTCTTCTGTACAACCACTAAAAGGTACAGGAGCCCTCTCCAATTTTCACTCCGATAATCATAGTCACAATTACTTCCTGTCTAGAATAGAGGCCTTATAGCAGTTTGCCAGAACGTACTTTAGTTTCTATGCACCCCTTAAAGTTACATAAGCCTTCTGTAGTTTTCAATTTGACAAACCATAGTTCTGAACATGGAGCACAACTGCTATGGGTATATACTGTAAAGGGGGCTTTTAGTATCACAGTTGGATTAAACATTTTTACTTTCAATGTGAAAAGGGCTTTCCAAAAATCAAACTTCTTCTGAACCATTTGTAAAGTTAAAAGGAATTATTAGGGAAACTAAAACTTCCTACTGAACAAGAACCTGTGAGCTCTGAGGACCTATAAAGTCCAGTGTGTGGCGGAGGGTAGGGATCAGGAAGAGAACTGGCTAGTACTGTATTGTATATAGTTGATATTATGATTAATCTCAAGTAGTAAGTCCTTGTAGTACATCAGAAAATTTTAGAAGTAAAAGAAAAAGGCCACTCCACCCCCACGGTACCATTCCTCATGTTTTAATGTGGCTTACCAGTAAATTCAATGTTAGTACAATTTCCTTCCAATCTGGCTCCACACATATAGTATGAGAATTTTTGAAAAACTGGCTTTTAAACCAACCTAACTAGCTCTT